AAACAAGAAGGCAAAATAACGAGAGATGAAAAAAAAAAAAAAACCCCAAAAACAGGAAACAAGACTGAAAAAAAAAAAAAAAAAAAAAGAAATGAATAAATAAAAAAAGTCAAGCAACAGAAAGAAAAGTTAAAATAAAGTCTGGTGAATGAAAGTCACAATGAATGACACACAACCAAGCCCCAGCATCCACTGAAAAACGTGCTGTGGTGTTTCTCTAAAAAACTCTTTGATTAATACATGTACTTAACAACGGACTGTAACTACGGACCTTGACATCAAGTTTCCAGTAAATGTGTTTACTTGGTGTTTTTAAAAATAAATGATATTTATCTATTCTTTGCTTATATATCAGATCTATCTCATCCGTAATAACATACGTTTACCATAAACAAAGGGGCTTTTTAATTTCACAAAAAATAATATGAAGAGATGTCAGTGGCCTCATTTTTCATTATATTACGTTGTCCGGTATTTGATATCTTTAAGATATTATGCCGTGATCACTGCATCTGCTTTGGAATTTTACGTCGTGCATATCGTCCTTTGGCCAATCACGAGTGAATCATAAAGAGAAGGAAAAATCTGAATTTTAGGAGGTGTCATCTGCACAAAATACTAGTTTACATGACGTGTTATTTGTTGTTTTCAGATTGCCAAAAGGCTGTTAACCAACGATCGTAACCGACAGTTTGCCTTCTAGATTTATAATAATAATAATAATAATATAATAATATTTTATTTCTTATATAGCGCATTCCATTTTTTACATTTCAATGCACTTTACAAATAATTAAAAGTCTAAAAATAACAATACTAAAATACTTTAACATTTACTGATAAAATTAATTAAAGAAAGCAGAGAAAATGTATTGATATAACTTTAAAATACTACTAAAATTAACCGAAGCTCACTCCTAATAAATGATAAACAACTAAAAGGTTTAAAGGAACACTAACCATAAAATTCTTTAAAAAGATGAGTTTTAAGACAGGCTTTAAAAGTATTATAGTCACTTTCAGCTCTGATACTAAAAGGCACTTTGTTCCACGATTTTGGAGCATAAACAGTAAAAGCCCGGTCTCCATAGAATTTGTTGCATTTTCTGTCTATTTCACAGTGATTGAGTATAAAATTGTTTTCAAAAGAGTTTCTTGTTAACCTGCGTGGTTCAGATGACTGAATAAGATGTGCAATATAACCAGGTGTGTTTTCTTTAAAAGCTCTAAAAATTATGCACAACACTTTGAATAAAATTCTTTGTTTGATTGGCAGCCAATGCAATTCCTTTAACACTGGAGTGATATGATCCAAGCTCTGGTTCCTTATCTTTTTAACTAATCTGGCCGCTGAATTTTGAATCAATTGGATTTTTTTCAATTTGCTGTCACTCACCCCAAAAAGAATACTGTTGCAATAATCTAATTTTGATGTAATAAAAGCATGAACTAATTTTGTAGTTGTTTCTATATTTAGTAAATTCCGAATCTTCCCTATTCTCCACAGTGAAAAAGATGCCGACTTACAAACATTGTCTATATGCTTGTCAAAGATCCCAGCTGAATCAAAAAAC